TCTCTGATTACCCTGCACGCATCGATGATGCGGTTTCTTAAGTCCTCTACATCGCGAACATGAGTACGATAAACCAAATGCTGTAAATGGCCCCAAATGTAGAAATCGAGAGATTTGAGATCCGGGAATCGAGCGAGACAGTTCTGTGGTCCTCCTCGACCTATCCACTGATTTGCATATGTTTCAGTTAAATGCTGACGTGCTACTTGACTAAAATGGGCGGGAGCCCATGGGCGGGAGCTTAATTTCAATATTGTAACTTTTTTAGTGGTTGTGAAAAAAATTGTTATACAAATTTTATGTACCCCCTTCAAGGGGCTGTATCTTAACAAGAGATACTCCAACGAAATTTCTTTATATGGAAGATCCTATCTTTTTTTCGATGAGGAATCACCTCCTTGAATGTTTTACACAACGCCGACAATGGGCTACTTGGATATTGCACGCGAATCGTCGGCGTAGCGTTGTCAACATGGAAAACGTGTCATATCAATCTGACATGTGACAATTCATGACTGACTTGGGTTATTGTGATAACAGTGAGAAATTTTTTCACACTATAATGGCGGATATTTCTCACTACGTGAGAAATCTTTCGTCTTGAACGTATGGAAGCGATGAGAGAAGTGGGACATTGTATAGCATCCATAGAAAAAGGTAATTTTTGTATGTGAACGCGTCCTTTTTACCTCCACAGGGGGCGCCCCCTTTGGAATATTTAAAAATCCTTTCTCATTGTGTATCTAAGACATAAGAAGCACCTATATACCAAATTTCAACTTCCTAGAACGTACCAAGACGAAGAAACAGATGAATGCTTCAGTGTTAAGTGACTGACTTTCGCATTTATAAGTATAAATTTACTGCTATTATAGACGTCAATTTAAAAACCTTCCACCCTAAATATCTCCCTTTCACTAAGCAATGTGAGGAATGGAAAAAATAGGTCAATTTTTGTAGCCCTCGGAAAATGTTCATCAAAACATAATAAGTTACGGTAACATTGAAAGCAGAATTTAACGCCAATCAAAATGATGTGTCACTTGACCACCCTTACCATTTGAAATTCTAAGGGTAACATTTAACCCTCCCAGGGGTTGAACCACGATAGCTACAAATAGTTCTTGAAAGTGTCCCCCTTGACAATAAAATTCCGATTCCTCATATTGTTTACTGGAAGGAAGATATTAAGGGTGAGAAGTTTTCAAATTGATACCTTGCATTTATACCACTCCCATATTTCTTTTTTTGAACTAACCTATTGTTTGACAAGCAAGCCATTTAGATTGAGGGATTTTGGCTCTACTAAGAGGTTTTTGTTTTATTTTGTTGTGAATCACTTGGGGCCCTCTCATACAATTTTTTTGTGTGATTCCACTGATATATTAATCAGTGCTTACCCTAATCTGTTCTAAGGCTTATCTATTGAATAAAACCAAAAATTACGTAACAACTAATTGTCGACTGAAACAAATCAGTCCGTAAATCAGTCTGGGAATCGTTTTTCGTCAGCTTTTCAGTTTCCTCGGACCGGTTCAATGAAAACGTTCATTTCCCAATCAGACAAATCTCGGAGGCTGGATCACAAACATATGGTTACCAGCAGGATATCGTCAGTTATCATCCCGACTGAATTCGACGTGTATATCGCAATATTGTAAATAGGCGTGCTACTATTTGAATACACTCGATGGGGGAATCGACGTTTTTCAACAGCTAATAACGATAATAATAACAAACAGAAGCGAGCGATGATTCACATAAACGAAATGAAAAATCTAATTCTCATATATTCTTGGGTTTATCAACACCAGAGAATTATGAGAATGATTATGCTTTGAAGTAAACTAATCAGGATAGCTTGTAAACACCGTTGATGCATAGTTGTGCGAAAAAAATAAATCATTAGGGGGTGTTTGTTTCCAGGACCGTTCACATTTTCCGAATCTGGTGAATGTTTGGAATGTGCTGATTGGATTGAGGTGGCGTGAAAAATTATCAGGTTGTTTCGCAAGTTTTGTCCGTTTTTATGAACTTGTTATGCACTGTTTGAAACCTTTGGTGTAGTATTCAATAATCACTGGAGTTTTTCCCAACACTAAAACGTTATTTTAACACCTCGACACGTGTTTCGATCACCAACTGATCATCTCCAAGAGGAAGATCATCTCCAAGAGGAAGATCATCTCCAAGAGGAAGATCTTCCTCGTGAAGCTTCCATTACCGCCCTCACATGGTTGAGAATCTCGGGAGTTATATCTCTGCAATGTCTCATGATATAGGTTGATGATATAGGTTGTTGATTCTGTCTCATACACTTCAGACTTCAAATGATCACATAGAAAACAATTTGCAGGAGTGTGATCTGGAGACCTTGGTGGCCATTCTGTAGGATCTCTTCTGCCAATCCAGCTACCAGGAAAATGATCATCCAAAAATTGTCGCACTGAAGCTGCATTATAATGAGGAGGTGCACCATACTGCTGAAAAACTATCTCGTTTTCGAATAAATTTATATCCTCCTCAATTGCCCTATTGATGCATGGTATTATTCGATTCCCCAACATATCCAAATATTTATCACTAGTCAAATTATCATCGATGAAAATAGATCCAATGATATGGTCACCTGAAATTCCTGTCCAAACATTTAGTTTTGAGGTCGTTGGGTATGAACTTGACGGTATAAATGAGGATTCGTATCACTCCAATATCGACAATTTTGCCGATTCACCTCTCCATTCAAACCGAAAAACGAATTTTATACAAAAAATTCTGATGCAAGTTGATCCGTTCAGTGAGACTTTTACAAAACTCGATATGTCTATCGAAATCATCTTCGATTAATTCATGAACTGGTCGAATATTATATTATGGATGAAATTTGTACTTATGAAGGATCCTGAGAACATTTATACGACTGATTCCTGATTCTGGAGATGACTTAGTAAGAGATTGCGAATTTTCCATTAATCCAACGTGCAAAAAGATTAACCGAAAATAACAATTTTATTAAAACAAAAAACTGAAATTACCAGGAAATAACATATAAGCTACAACCAGACAATAAATTGAAATATTAATAGAAGCTGAAAATTAAAAAAAAGTATTAACAAAAATGAAAAATAGAAATAAAAATTAAAAGATTCCAAACCAAGTTACGTCACGACGTTTCGATTGTTAGTATCCACAATCGGCTTTGGGTGATAACTGGACTTATTCCTCCGAGATCTGACTATTTATAGGTCATTCGGGTGCTTTCACCTTTCACCTATCCCCTCTTTCTTCTTTTCGCTCCATTGGTTTTAGCGGGAGAGGACCGTTTGGCGGGAGTTGGTCGTTTTTCGCTCGATAAGAGGTTTCCATATGTTACGTATCTCTACGCTAGCTTGACTAAATGTGTTGTTGGACAACATATACGCGGCTTCCTTGAATTTTCTCTCAAACCAGTGTTCCTCTTTGTGGATGATTTCAGCTTGAGCCCACTTGATATTATGTTGATGAGTCCAAACATGCTCTACTATTCCGGATTTGCTGGTTTCTCCTCGCTGTGTGTGTTTCTTGTGCTCGGCAATGCGAACATTCAATGGCCTCTTAGTTTCACCAATATAGGATTTTCCGCACTCACAGGGTATCCGGTAAATGCAATTCTTGGACTCGCAGTCCGCGTTTGGTGGCCTGGTTTTCGTGAGGCTGCTACGGATAGTGTTCCCAGATCTAAATCCTGATGTTATACTTGGACCCAATTTTTCTTATCCTTTCCGATAATCCTCTGATGTAGGAGAGTACAAGAATTGGTTGTGGCGGCTTCTCTTCCTTGTGGAGCTCTTGCTGTCTTCTAGCTAAAGCCTGTTCTACGATCACTCTGGAGTAATCATTCCGTTGAAGGTCATTTTTGATGATGCCTATTTCTTTTTCGAAACCTTCCTTTGTATTAAAGAGCTCAAAAGCACGGTCTAGTAGAGTCTTGATGATTCCTCTCTAAGTCGATTGATGTCGGTTCTGGTTCAGATACTGTCCTGTGTGAGTGGGTTTTTGATATACAGATGTTTCCCATTTAGTGTTGGTCCTCTTCACCAATACGTCTAAGAAAGGCGATTCGTTGTGGACTTCCTTCTCCATTGCAAAAGTAATGGAAGGACTCACGTTGTTGATGTGCTTCAGGAAAATGTCTAGTCCTGCATCCCCATGGTTCCATATTATGAAGGTGTCGTCTACGTATCTCAACCAGACTCGGGGCTTCTTGTGGACTTCTTCAATGGCCAGAGTTTCAAACCACTCCATATATATATTAGCTATAATCGGTGAAAGTGGCGATCCCATTGGCAGTCCCTCATCTTGCGTAAAAAATTCGTCCTCCAGTTGGAAGTAGCAGTTCGGTCTGAGCGGAACATCCTTTTTTTGGATTTTGGGTAGTCCATACCAGTGAGGTGGCTTACTGTGGTGCGGTGTTAGCGATGATCTCTTTTTTTCCGAAAAATACACTTGGTGTTTCCTTTCAACTTCCTTTCAATTGATGCAGTAGAGTCTCTTACGATTTTCGTGTATTTTTCTTTCTGAAGCACCTCTTCGATCTTCTGTTCGTAGAGATCAGTATCCATCACAACAGTAGCGTTTTCCTTATCTGCAGGTAAGATCTTGATGGTGTTGTCTCTACGTAGCCCGTTCAGGGCTCTTCGTTCTTCATTGCTGACGTTAGGAGTTGCAACTGGTTCTCTGATTTTCCATCTGAATTCTTCTGAAACTCTGGCCATTGAAGAAGCCCACAAGAAGCCCCAAGTCTGGTTGAGATACGTAGACGACACCTTCATAATGTGGAACCATGAAAATGCAGAACTAGACATTTTCCTGAAACACATCAACAACGTAAGTTCTTCCGTCACTTTCACAATGGAGAAGGAAGTCCACAACGAATTGCCTTTCTTAGACGTATTGGTGAAGAGAACCGACACTAAATGGGTAACATCTGTATATCGAAAACCCACTCACACAGGACAGTATCTGAACCAGAAATCCAACCACCTTCAATCGACTAAGAGAGGAATTATCAAGACTCTACTAGACCGTGCTTTCGAGCTCTGTAATACAAAGGAAGGTTTCAAAAAAGAAATAGGCATCATCAAAAATGACCTTCAACAGAATAGTTACTCCAGAGTGATGGTGGAGCAGGCTTTAGCTAGAAGACAGCAAGAGCTCCACAAGGAAGAGAAGCCGCCACAACCAGTACTTGTACTCCCCTACATCAGAGGATTATCGGAAAGGATAAGAATGATTGGGTCCAAGTATAACATCAGGACCTGCTTCAGATCTAGGAACACTATCAGTAGCAGCCTCACCAAAAACCAGGTCACCAAATGCGGACTGCGATTCCAAGAATTGCATTTACCGGATACCCTGCGAGTGAGGAGAATCATACATTGAAAGTTCGCATTGCTGAGCACAAGAAACACACACAGCGAGGAGAAACTAGCAAATCCGAAATAGCAGAGCATGTTTGGAATCATCAACATAATATCAAGTGCGCTTAAGCTGAAATCATCCACAAAGAGGAACACTGGTTTAGGAGAAAATTCAAGGAAGCCACGTATATGTTGTCCAACAACGCATTTAGTCAAGCTAGCGTAGAGATACGTAACATATGGAAACCTCTTATCAAGCGAAAAACGACCAACTCCCGCCAAACAGTCATCTCCTGCTAAAACCAACGGAGCGGAAAGAGGAAAGAGGGGATAGGTGAAAGATGAAAGCACCCGAATGACCTATAAATAGTCAGATCTCGGAGAAATAAGTCCAGTTATCACCCGAAGATGATTGTGGATACTAACAATTGAAACGTCGTGACGTAACTTGATTTGGAATCTTTTAATTTTTATTTTCTTTTTTCATTTTCATCATGGAGCATCATGGAGCGAAACAATATAGAGTGATCCACCCTATAGTAGACTGGTGCCATCTCCTGGATCTCCATATCAAAATATCTCTTTTCTCGAAATTAATTTGTCCTCATAACAAAACGATGGCTATATTAGCAGCCATTTACAGTCCACTAATTTCATCAAAAATTCAACTACACACGATCGGTTTCTTCTAATTATTCATCACTTTTTTAGAATGAAATGGAGCCACAGGCCCGAACGATCGGTCTATTATCAAAACGAAATAAAATCTCCACGTCTGTTGCCGTCGCATAAACACTTAGCTGGCCTTGTATATACAAGAGGAATACTTAAATCTCCAGCTGTAAACATCGCCATGTGAATGTGTTTATATACCCATACATCAAGATGGATGTTTATGCTTCTTCAGAAATTTGGTACTCATCAACGGTTTGAACGTGTATATTTACAAACCATTATGTAGTATGTTTTAAATTTTTATCGTCTCCCATCATCAGGGCACATTAATCTCGAGTTTTTTTCGAAAACGCGCGTTTTATTACGAGAACGCGAAACGAAATTTATATTGTTGAGGGTATGGAGTTTATGTGATAATGATTTAGTTTTATTGGCTATTTCACCGCCATTCCAACAACCTAATCAAATAAACGATCGAGAATTATCAGAAATATTATCTTTGGGATCTGTTTTACTGAGCTTAATAATCTCAATATTTAGAAAACGTACGCAATCAAGGTTTTTATATGCTACTTTGAGAGAGATTTTGTTAGAATAGCCGAGGCAAATTTGAAGTTTTTGTGAGGGAAAAAGCTCATAGCAACATCGATAATTTTCACAGATATCAAGTTTTTTCTGAGAACAAACAACCTCAATATCTTCCTTTCACTCAACATAATTGAAAATAAATTGATTGATGTAGCCGTTATTAGCTGGTAGGAAGGGAAATGTCCATATAGGAGGAAACTGTGGTAACGATAGTTACAAATGAAAGTGTTAAAAACCATAGAAAGTTTTATTTTTCACTTTTCATAATAATTGAAAATTTCAATTACTTGTTAATCAATAGATATTAGGTGGGCTAAAAGTTCCTAGGCTACCACACAGACGGCATTACTGGTATAATATTCAAATAATCTTTTAGAAGAAGATCATATCTTTGAAGGAAATTTCGAAATTGTACACATACAAAATAAAGGTTTGAAGCTTAATCATTTGTAAGCTGCAGAAATTAATAAACTTAAAACTTCAAACATTTTACTGAATGACCAATTGGATTTGAATAGATCACCATTCTTGAACTTGTTTTCCTAAAAACTGATGTATCTTAGTCTTCGTAGATATTGTATTATTGATGTAGAATTGATATAATCTGTATCTGTAGAGTAGAGTGAGTGAGTGTAAGACCACAGCACTTAGGCTACATGTGACCTATTGTACATCATCCCGAAGAGTTGTCCTCCTAGGTCATCATCCATCCTGTCCTTTCCAGGAAGCTGAACAGGTCACTAGGAGACATCTCCTTTATATTGACAGGTGTAGGCCAAGACTCGCCGAACACACACTCTCTTTGGCAACCTTGAGGTGTCTCACGGTGGTCTCCGCGAAGGTTTTGGAAGGTGCAGCGACATTACTGTCGTTGTGCGGCTTCTTCAACCTTCTTGGGATTCCTTCCGTGGAGATGCACAAGTGAGGGATCTTTCCTGCAGAGGCAGCCGGTTCCTTTCCTGCAGAGGCAGCCGGTTCCTTGCCTTCATTCAAAGTGGAGCTCTTGGCGCCCGCCGCAGGAAGTGCCCTTGCTGTTGGAGGTGATCTGCTATGTCCAGCGATAGATTTGGGTGGACATTTCTGTTCATCCCCATCCACCGCCTTAGATTGAGCCCCGCAGTAGCAGAGGTAGGCTGATTACAATGAGGTTTCAACCAGTTTCCCAAGGGAATCGTTCGTAACTGCATATCACCCTGCGGCCATTCAGCTGTCGGCACGATTCCTTACACCTTAGCTTGGATAGGCTGGTTCACGGTGGCGTGTTTCGCAAAGGCTTTTGAGGGGTTTTAGTTCCCCTCACCCTACTCATTTATGCCACTGACCAGGAGTCCGGCGACTCTGTCCATAAGACCACATTAGCTTCCCGAACAGGGCTCCCGGTCCCCTGGCCGTTTCCCTATCCTCCAGCTGGGGACGCGCCCGATAGGCAGCCCAACCCACGGAGAATCATAATCTCGGTAGTGTAGACGAAACTAAAGTTGCCATTTTGATTTATACGCGAAGTATAATTCACCAATAACAAAACTGATTACCACGCATAATTTCATTCAAAATCTTATCACAAATAAACGATCGAGAATTATCAGAAATATTATCTTTGGGATCTGTTTTACTGAGCTTAATAATCTCAATATTTAGAAAACGTACGCAATCAAGGTTTTTATATGCTACTTTGAGAGAGATTTTGTTAGAATAGCCGAGGCAAATTTGAAGTTTTTGTGAAGGAAAAAGCTCATAGCAACATCGATAATTTTCACAGATATCAAGATTTTTCTGAGAACAAACAACCTCAATATCTTCCTTTCACTCAACATAATTGAAAATAAATTGATTGATGTAGCCGTTGTTAGCTGGTAGGAAGGGAAATGTCCATATAGGAGGAAACTGTGGTAGCGATAGTTACAAATGAAAGTGTTAAAAACCATAGAAAGTTTTATTTTTCACTTTTCATGATTATTGAAAATTTCAATTACTTGTTAATCAATAGATATTAGGTAGGCTAAAAGTTCCTAGGCTACCACACAGACAGCATTACTGGTATTGAATCCATATGCTCTTCAGTTAACCCTAACCTTCAAAAGACACGTGGACAAATTTGTCAGCCATCGGACTATTAACTTGTGGGATAGAACATTTTGAGTGCAGCAGCTTTCATTAGTTCAAAAAAAAGGAATATCGTGTGTTAATAAAGCATTGCTTTATGCCCAAAAGAAATACCGTTGAATTACTTGCTTGTGCTCAAACGAATACGATTTGTTGTATGTTAGGAAACGAGGGTTCTTAGTTTTGGGAAAACTTTTATGTTTTTCGCGTATCCACATGTTTATATGAATCAATAAATGATCGAATTGAAAGCCAACAAAGCTTCAATCTATATATTGTAACTGATTTTTTATCAACGTTTTTTATTCACAGATACCCTCGATTTACTGTATATCATTTATTTCCAGGTATTCGACTTCCAGATTCCCCAACAAATCCTCCTGCCAACCTCTCAATTAACAGCAGTAATCAGAATAAGCGGAAGCGGTCTTGGTCCAGGGCCGTATTCAGCAATCTGCAAAGAAAAGGCTTGGAAAGACGGTTCCAGTTGCAGAAATATATAACAAAACCTGACAGGCGACAACTTGCAGCCACACTGGGACTAACAGATGCTCAGGTTTGTATTTGCTTTTTATTTGCAAGGACTTCATAAATTATTTCTGAGTATTTACAAGCACTGCCAAACATCTAAAAGTGTCTTGAGAAGATTTATATCGCATGTGTCTAAGGAAATCGGTCAAGCTCTTCATAGGGCTCGACCGATTTTCTATAGGAAAGTTTGAAAATGACCTTGTTTTCACTGAAATCTTCAAAAAGTAGGGGAGACCGGGGCAAGATGAAGTTCGGGGCAGCACGGCAAGTAAGCTTGTGTGCGTGAATAGTAATCGTGTTCGGAGCGGCGACAGCGCCATTTGCACGAACTTCACTCTCCGCTGGTGTGTCCAAGCAGAGCGAACAGGTTAGAACTCGTTTTTGCGTTGCAGAGAGAAAAAAGTGATATTGCAAGTGTTTTTACGCGATATTTGATTCGAAAACTGATGTACAGACATGTAAGTACCTGTGTTAATGTATTATTTCAATCCCGAGCTTATTATAGTAGTCCAAAACATTAAATTCAAACCAGATTTTTTCGCCGGTAAAGTTTGAGGTTAGAATTGCGTCATCTTTTTTACCTACGTGTGGATCGGGGCAAGATGATCGGGGCATAATG